TCAAGCCACGAGTTATTTAGTGCATTGTTTTGTTGATGAAGATTGTTTTCTGCCACTCTGGCCTAAACTTAACTATTTTAATATTTTAAAAGAATCGTTCTTCTTCATGTGAAAATATTTACGTACTTCCAAATTTTTTCTACACGTTTCTGTCATCAAGGACACTACTTCCTCTCTAAAGTTTGGGGAGTAGATTAAGCAAGCATAATAAAATACAGTAAGTAAAAAACAAGAGAGAGGTAAGAAAATGCGTAGATTAAAAAGAAGTAGGAAAAAAAAAGAAAAATGAAGCTAAAGGAAAAAAAAGAGAGAGTGCCAAAAGAAAATAATCTGAAAAAAAATAAGCGAGAAAGAGAAAAATGAAATGAGAAAAACAAAAGAGATAGTAAAAAGAAATAAGATTGGATGAGAGAAAAATAATAAGTAATCTTACGATATTTTTTAAAAATAATCTCACTTATCGACACTCCACTTGCACTAGGCTACGAGTGGTATTTAGCGGTCTTAATAATAGCAACATGATTTAGTTTGACTTTGTACAACTCACAATGGATTGGTTCAGATTTGTTGCCAACTTAGAGACTCCAATAAGTAACCGTGGTAGCCAGTCCATTTTTTGAGTCATTTTGTGCTAAAAATTATATCAATAAGGAAGTATGCACCGTCTCTATTGGATTTCAAAAAGTTTTTTAACTACAAAAATAGACCAGTTAGAAATATTCATATTTTTTAGAATAAAGGTAGTTTTATGGTAAATTGACTTGAGATCGGTGGTAGGGGCCTTGACGTCTTTTCTAAGACAATATATGAGTTCATCATCTAGTTCTCCTTGAAGTTTGATTTATTCATATTTTCTGCATGCTGGTTGTTGGAATTGAAAGTGTTGATTAATGCGAATAATTAGACTTAAATCATGATGTGATTTATAAAATAAACTATTATCTTATAAATATATTTAGTTTTTGACACAGTTGCATTATGGGAGATGGGATTAGTAAAACATATCTTAATCATAATGTTTGGAATAATTGATGGGTTATTGAAATGAACCTATTTTAGATTTACGTATTTTACTTCAGGTTTATTTAGGACTATGGATTTGCATTCCTAATATAACATTTATATAAACACTTTTTAGGATGTATAGATTTTTTTTTTCTGTTAAAAAAAACAAAAAAAAAAAACAAAAAACTTTAAGAGCCTTAAACCAAGTACAGATTTATGACTTTTTATATTCTGTTTTAGCACCTAAACTATTAAATTTTCTATTTTAATCTTTTGTCAGTACTTTATTGTTTAAAAATTGTTTAATACAAACTTCAATTTTTTGGTTTTTTTACAACCAAAATCTTGCCTATTATTAACTAGTATATATGACATGATAAAACAGTTAAAATAGACATTTAAAAGTTTTGAAAATTAAAAAGAATTAAATACAAAACTGGAGACAGAAAAGCATCAAAGTTGAAAAAAAAATTTAAGTATAAAAGGAAACGTGCTTATTTATTTATATATATTTTGTACTTATTGAAACAAGAAAAAAATATATGTCGTTAATCTGTACGAGAAGGAGAGCAACAAATTAAAATCCGCATGAGAGAGATGTTTTTGTTTTTATTTTTGTTTTTTTTAGGCCATCAATAAAGAAAACAAAAACCGTGGAATGAAAGCAATTTAGACAATAAACGGTTCGAAGAAAACTGCCATGAATCAATAAGCCTTCAAGGGGGCTCCCCCCTCCCACCGGATGCCATTTGTGGCTAATCTAATATCCACCACAGAAAATGTCATTTATGTACTAATTTACACAAATTGAAAATAAGAAACTTTCAAAGTAATTTATATTACTATTTTTATGTTAATTTTTGTTTATGGACAGAGAAAAAAAAACAACACTATCGGTTGCAATTTTCTATTTTTATCAGTGGATCCCACAGCCTGTCCATTCTCTATATCTCCCTTTTCCCACATTTAGCCTACTTTGTGTCTCTATAAAATGAGAGTTTGAAGGCAGACCCACTCAAAACGAACGACCATTTCCCCGTCTTCTTCAAAACATGGGAATATTCTTCTTCTTCTTCTACCTTCTCCTTTCGGCCATATCTACAGCAGATGCGGCGGGATATCTCGGGGTGAACTATGGTCGAGTTGCCGATAACCTAGCCCCACCTGTCGAAGTAGTTAAGCTCCTAAAATACCATGGAATCGACCGAGTTAAAATCTTCGACACCGATGCCACTGTCCTCACCGCCCTTGCCAAAACTGATATATCCGTCATCGTGTGTCTCCCCAACGAGCTCCTGGCCTCTGCTGCCAACGGCCAGTCCTTCACTGATAATTGGGTCCAGGCCAACATCACTAAGTTCTACCCGGCCACAAAAATTGAATCCATTGCTGTCGGCNATGTTGCTGGTAAACGCGTCACTGTCGTCGTTGGAGTTTAGGTGTACGGTTGTTTTATTTATTTATGAATTTTTGCCACTAAGGCGGATATGAGATGTTTCTGTTTTTAAATTGCCTACGGAGGGCGAAGTCCTGACAGTTTGTGACATTTGTATTTCTGACAGAACATATGGGAGTCGAAGTTTTATTTCGTTTAAATTATTTTCCCAGGGAGTTGTTTATCGCATGTTTAGAGTTAAAGCTAGCCAGGTGAATTATTTAGCGTTGCCTAGAATGATATATAAAATCCTGGGGCGTTACAGGTATCGAGCTAGCTCTTGGGATGGTGATGGCGAGGAGGAACTTGACTAGAGAGATAACGCTGCGTCGTTAAGTTTTAAATTTGGATAGGATAGTTATAGTTGTTTATTTGTAACTGAGTATGTTTTGAGATTATTAAATTGGGTTGTTAAGTTCCATTTTTTAAAGGATGTGTTAGGGTTGACAGTGCACTATTCTTTTGAGAACATACATTTTGTTTAGCTACTTGAACTTTGACGATGTGAGGATATTTATCAGGATAATACATTTGTTCAAGCCGAACTTGAATTAGCATTCTCTTCGCTGCTATTTGAGAAAGTTAGTTTTGTGTAGTGGATGATTTTTGATTAGTGAAGATTGCGGTGAAAATTTTCTATGAGGTTGGATTGTTACTAAATTATTAACTGAGAAGGATTTGAGTTCGTTAGAACTTTAGCATTGTTTGTTTTGTTTAGTGTCAGCTTATGTAAGTGTTATTAATCAGAGTAGCGCAGCAGAAGCGTGGTGAGAATTGTCCAAGTTTGTATTTCTAGTGGTTTAATTCTCTAGTACGAGTGATACTTTTTAAGTGGCTTTAGTAACGTTCCCTGTTTGAATGCTGAAAATCCTAGGACGTTACACTTATCTTTTGGTGTAGAGAATATCCCAACACTAGCCTAACGGGCCAAGTGGATGGCTTACCTCTCTGGCTCCCCGGGCTTGTAAGGAGTAGGGGGAGTAGGTATCGCTTTAACTGTAGGTTTATTGTGCCGACGTTCCTCATCAACAGAGACTGCTCGAACAATGATTCTTTGTTCGGAAGACATTGTTTTTGTGTCTTAACTAGGGAAACAAGCTTTCTATTTTAGCTTGAAAATGTCGATTTAGGCCAACTGTTGTTGGCGAGTTTTGGAGAGGTTCATGTGCCCCTCAGAAGTGGGCATAACCAATGAGCAAATGAGCCTGCAACCAGAAAACTTGAAAACGGTGCGGTGTCTGTCTAAAATGCTCCGACTATCAAGTCAATAATCGAAGTAAAAAGTATGGGTAAACACTTATGGATTTAGTGATAGATTTTTCACTTACTTGGTAGTGATGGAGGCCTTCATTTTATTGGCACAGGTGGCCGAACATGAAGGACGATAGTTTTGGGTGCAGGGTGCGCCTTGCGGTACGGGACTTTGACGGGTGAGGGTGGACATCCCTGACATCTGGCAGGTGGCACCTTCACCTGCCGGTCCATCTCCCCTTGCTGCCAAGGCGTGAGTTCTGGCTTGCGACGCGCGCCTCCTGTACAACTCCAATAATGGCGCGCCCGTACGAGCCCACAATGTACATTCCTAACCATATGTGGTCTCGTGCCCAACTGTCTTCTCCAATGCTTCACACGTCACCTACTCGGATTTCTCCCTCAACACATATATTCTCGATCAAGAGACGTGAGTGCAAATCTTCATTTCTAGTTGTACTAGAAAAATGAAAAATAAAAAACAAGAAACAGTAAATAGTTATCAAACACATTTTGTTTCTATTTCTCTTTTTTATTTCTTTTTCAGGAAACAAGAAAGAAATTGGTACCAAACCATTCTTGTTTCAAGTAAAAAAAATTAGAAACAAAAAACAAGAAATAGAAATCGACACGAAACAATATTATTGTTTCTAGTTCAAAAAATTAGAAACAAAAAATAAGAAACAACAACTTTACCCACCGGACTCTTAGTTAATTATTCTGTTAGTGTTTGTTTGGTTGCTAGTTGGTAAATTACCTTCCCCGTTTATTTCCTTCATTATTTCAGTTATTGTTTCCTTCATTATTTTATTTTCCAACGTAATTTTGTATAAATAGGTGGGACCTCTTTCTCGCCATTTCTAATGGAGTACGATTTTTTACCAGCTTTATTTCTCATCAATTCAATATGGTATCATATGTAGTTCCCAATATATAATTTATATTCTTTCTTCCTGTTACAATATATAAGGTACTAAAAGAGAAAAACATTACACTATTTCCTTTATATAATTTTTTTTTTATTTTTCCCTCAATTGGAAACCATCGTGTAAGTTGCGATTTGTGGCTAATCTAATAACCAGCACAGAAAAGGTTATTTATGAACGGAATAATACAAATAGTAAATAACAAACTTTTTTAGGTAATCCATATTACTATTTTTATGTTAATTTTGGTTTATGGACAGGAAAATAAAAAGTTAGGTTGCAATTTTCTATTTTTATCAGTGGGTCCCACCACCTGTCCGGTCTCCCTTTATTGGTCTTCCCACTTTGTGTCTCTATAAAATCCGAGTTTGGAGACACATTCATTGAAAACGACCATTCCCCCGTCTTCTTCAAATATGGGCACATATTCGTTCCTCTACATTCTTCTCTCGGCCATATTTGTGGTAGATGTGGCGGGATGGTCATATATTGGAGTAAACTACGGTCGAGTTGCCGACAACCTAGCCTCGCCTAGTGAAGTAGTTAAGCTCCTAAAATACCAAGGAATCTACCGTGTCAAAATCTTCGACACCGATGCCACTGTCCTCACAGCCCTTGCCAACACTGGTATATACGTCATCGTGTGCCTCCCCAACGAGCTCCTCTCCTCTGCTGCCGACAGCCAGTCCTTCACTGATAATTGGGTCCAGGCCAACATCACCAAGTTCTACCCGGCCACGAAAATTGAATTCATTGCTGTCGGCAATGAAGTGTTTACCGACCCCACCTACCTCATGCCGTTTCTCGTACCGGCCATGAAGAACATTCAAGCTTCCCTTCAGAAGTTCAAAGCTGGCGACATCAAAGTCTCCTCCCCAATTCCTTACACGGCTCTCACATCCTCCTTCCCGCCTTCAAGTGGTGCCTTCAATCCGGACTTCGTCGAGCCCGTCATCAAGCCCATGCTCGAATTCCTCCGCAAGACCCAATCCGCCCTCATGGTTAACATCTACCCCTTCTTCGCATACATGGATAACTCTAATCAGATCAACCTTGACTACGCTGTCTTTCGACACAACCCCAGCGTGGAGGATACCGGCAATGGAAACAAATACTCCAGCCTTTTYGTGGCTCAAGTCGACGCCGTTTATGCGGCTATGTCGAAACTACAATATGATGACATTACTGTGCTGGTTTCAGAGACAGGGTGGCCGTCCGATGGAGACGACCAGGAAGTGGGATCAAATGTGGAAAATGCGGCAGCGTATAATGGAAATTTGGTGCGTAGAGTTCTAATCGGAGCTGGGACGCCTTTGAGACCTGCGGTCCCATTACACGTTATTCTGTTTGCGCTCTTCAATGAGAACAAGAAACCGGGTCCCACATCYGAGAGGAATTACGGCCTCTTTTATCCGAACGGTCAAAGGGTGTACGAGATTGCACTTAATGAAGACCAACTTAAGAATGGGCCTAAGCCGGCGCTCAACATAAGCACCGACCCAGTGCCGCCGCCAGCGCCGCCAGTGGATGGTGAGACACCGCCTGCAAGTGGACCGCCATCGTGGTGCGTCGCCATTGCTGGCGTTAAAGCAGATAAACTCAAGTCGGGGCTAGAGTATGCATGTGGAGTAGGAGGGGCCGATTGCGGTCCTATCCAACCTGGTTCCACGTGCTTCAATCCTAATACGATTGAGGCCCACGCTTCATACGCTTTCAACAGCTATTACCAAAAGAAGGGTCGTGTTGCTGGATCGTGCGATTTCGATGGAGCTGCTGTCGTCGTTAATCAACCTCCAAGTACATATTTCAATCCCAATGTTCATATTTGTTTCTTTTCAATCCCAATGTTCATATTTGTTTCTTTTAATATATGTTTTTAAATTTATGTGGCTAAATGGTATCATTTTGTATGCAGAGTATGGAGATTGCAAATTTCCTCCAGAGTCTACCGGTGGGACACCAGCTACCGGTGGGACGCCGCCTACCAGTGGTACACCATCGACCCAAGGTCAGACGTGGTGCGTGGCCAAACCAAACGTTGGAGATGATAAGCTCCAGCAGGGGCTAGAGTTTGCATGTGGGAATGGAGGTGCCGATTGTGGTCCAATCCAGCCAGGTGCCGCGTGTTTCAATCCTAATTCACTCGAGGCCCATGCTTCGTACGCTTTCAATAGCTTTTACCAAAAGAGGTCTCGTGCTGATGGCACGTGTACTTTCGGAGGAGCTGCTCAAATTGTCACTACACCTCCACGTAAGTTCCATTCAAATTTCAATGTGTATATTATTTTCTTTTAATATCATTTTTTATAAGTGATTTGGCTACATGATGACATTTTTTGACGCAGAGTATGGAAATTGTAAATTCCCCACGGGGCCTGATAGTGGTACACCACCCAGCAGTGGGACGCCACCAAACAGCGGAACACCACCTGCTAGTGGGACGCCGTCGACCCAAAGTGATAAGTGGTGCGTTGCCAATTCGAAGGTTGGTACAGATAAGCTCCAAACAGGATTAGAGTATGCTTGTGGGACAGGTGCCGATTGCAATCCGATCCAACCAGGTGGATTATGTTATAATCCTAATACGATCGAGGCCCACGCTTCATATGCTTTCAACAGCTATTACCAAAAGAACAATCGTGCCACCGTCTCATGCGATTTTGGAGGAGCTGCTACCATCGTCACTAAAGCTCCCGGTAAGTACCATGAATCTTCAAAATCTATTTTTATGTTTTTCTTGTAATAACTATTTTTAAAAATGATTTGTTTGAATGGTGTCATTTTGTGATGCAGTGTACGGAGATTGCAAATTTCCTACTGTATATTGAGTTCGGGTGACTAAAGAAATCAGTCGAAAACAACATTTTATTTTCATTTACTAGTATAATTGACTTTTTATTTGAATGTAATAGTTACATTTATATTCTCTCTGAATCTAATAAAATATTTTTATGTTTTTTTTATGGAATATAATATTTGTTTGTAATGGTTGCTAAGTATTTACTATAAACGTTAATAGATATATTAGGTAATCTTTATAAATTTTGCATTTCGTCGTTAAAAAATAAATGTGTGTAATTTATTTTTAATTTATGAATTTATAATTTAAAAGTATTTAAAAATTTTTACCCAATCTAAAAAATTGTAATCCATACTTTTTAAAATACTAGTTCAATACCACATGCAATGCACGTAATAAAAATATTGATTTATAAAAACAATTTATTTAACTAAGTGCTTTAAATTTGTAAAAAATATAATAAATTTGTTAAATATATTTTATTTTATTTTTATAATCAATGTAATTGTAAAAATATAAGATTAAAGGTAATTATTATTAATAAAATACGTTAAAAATTAAAAACGATAAAAATGATAGTCCAAATATAAAATATGATTCAAATCAATATGTATTATAATTGGTTGATGTTTTACATTTTCTATATTGTTCACATTTGTTTTAAAACTATTTTCTTGTTTATTATTAGTAAATATAGGTTTAAGTTTCTTAATTATTTTCTGAATTTTATTAAGATAAAACTTTCAAATTGTCATGGAAATAAATTGATGACACAAATTTATAGTTTGAGTGAGTGAAAAAAATTATAAAATTTTGACATTCCAAACCTTTCATATTTTACAATTAAATATAAGCATATACAAATATTTAGATATAATTAATTTAATATTATAACTTTTAACATTCTATTCACTTAATCTTTGCAATTCATTATCATATACAACGATTTTAATGAAATTTAGGTTACATTTTCTTATTGTTAAAATTACAATTTTTTATATTATCATTTTGAAAAGTTTATTTTACCTGATTTAAGATCCTTATTTTTTTAACTACACATTGCTTTGTTCAATTAAAATTATAAAGATTTTCCAACCTAATCTTTTTTAACGTCGTATATTAAAATGTTAAACTTCAATAAAGAAAAATTATTTTAATTATTTGATTTCATATTATAATTATACTTATTATTTTAAAATTCTTTTAACTTCCAGCTGAATGTAATGAAAAAAAAAAAATTTATTCCAACTTTTAGATTGATTATTGATTAATTAATTAATTTACTATTTATAATTAATTAAAAATTGGTAAGGACTCGATTTTTTGTCCAAACAAAATAAGATAAGTTTGTAATTATTGTAATTATGATCAATAAATTATTAATTTTCACTAAACATTTTAAATAAAAAATAAATTAATTATAAAAGAAAAATAAAACACAAAAAAAAAATTATTGTAAGACTCATTCTTTAAAATAAAATTTCTCAATTGATAATTGGTTGACCAATATTATTATTCAATATGGTAGAATTTTAGAAAGCCATATTTGTATCACATGAAATCAATCGAATACCGCAACAATATATATATATATATATATATATATATATATATATTATATACGGTCAACAAACAAAGAAAATTATTCGAACTAGAATTATGACGTGAACAACCGTAGGGCTTCAGTCGTTGGCTCCCCAATCGTCAAGTCACAAATTTTCTTGATAGTATGCCTCTAGGAATCTCTGATACTTCAACTCCATAATTGTACTCTAAGATCATCATTTCAAAGATGAAAAATCATGGCTCAAACAAAAAACATTTCATCACAAAGTGGAATTGAAACGACCCAGTCTAGGATATAGATCCAACAACGTGCTTCCTTGCAACTTGAATACGTCACCAGCATCTTAAGTCGTCTTTCAAGATTGAAGAATTCTTTGAGAGCAATGAATTGAGAGAACTACGAAGAGAAATGAAGGGAGAAGTGTTTGTCACCAAAATGCTATCTTTTCTGTATACTTTCCCCAGTTCCATTGCCACTGCGGGCTTTACGCAATCAATCGGATCATATAGATATCCCTTCAATACAATATAGGTCATCGAAAGGACAAGTTACAAAACTTTAGAGATTCCATCATGAATTGTAATTAAAGGAAAAACTTTTACATTCCATATATTTAGTATTTATTGATAATTAATTATTAACATATATTATTTATTTGTAATTAAGCAAAAATTAAAGGGGTATAATGGTCCTAAAATATTTTTTCGAGATCGTGCCTTTTTAATATATTATAGATAATTTTAATCTCTGCATTTTGCTAACTTTGAAAACCTACATTTTCAGTATTAATAAAATTTATTAAATTAAAAAAATAAAAAAAATGTTTATTCGATGAGCCCATAAAAGTAACAATTTATTGCCTAAACTTTTAAAATAATTATTTAACCCCTAAACTTCTAAAAGTAACGATTTAGTCCATTAACTATAAAATTGTTTACACACAAAGTTGACGTGGCCGCCAACTATAATCAATGTGTTTAAATTAAATTGGCTTAATCGATTCAATTCAGTTCAACTTTGGTTCTATTCGGTTCAAATTTATAATGGTTTAGGACTTAGAAAAAGAAAATTAAACTTTTGAAAGAGGAACACCTTCTCTTGACTTCATCGCTCAACAGAACTCCCAACTCTCACCCGATTTCTTGAAATATCGTATGAATATTTTGGAATTTGTTGGAAAATTAGGCTACAAACAATTTCCTCATCCACAGTTATATACAGTTAACTAGTTAATCATACACAACAAGAGATTAAGGAAAGCGCATAAATGACACAACATACAGAATTATACTGGTTCACCTTATATTGACTATGTCCAGTCTTCCGCTAAGATATTAACTCTTTAGAAGTCCCAACAAAAGCCATAAGCTTCTAAGTATATTAACACACTATACTTATCCACAAAGAAGGACAAACTCAAGAAACAACGATAACTAATTACCCCAAACAATGATCTTGTTTGCCCTCTCTGTGCTGCCAACGCCCTCAAAATTTAGCTACAATGTTAATCACAAGACTGCCTAAAACCCTAAGACAAAACGATGGTATTATAACAACTTAAGTTGCGGCCTTGAGATGTTCTCCATAGCGTCTCACCTCTATGGACAGAATGCCCAATGTGCGCCCCTCCTCGCGGTAGCGTTGAGATGTTGTCCCCAGCGTCTCAACACTCCGACTCCTGCAGCATGATCCTCCGGCATTGACAATGTCCATGATCCTCCGGCATTGACAATGTTGAGATGCTTTGATGGAGCGTCTCAACGTTACCTCCTCGGTCAGCGTGCCCATGTAGCTTCACTTCAAATCATTCATTCTTTATTCTTTCAATTATTTTTCGCTCGGATTCTGGTTTGGCTCCACCAATCCCAAAAATTCTTATATAGGCAAGTATCAAGAGGAGTTAGCAAAAGCATTCTTTAATTAAATTAAATAATGTAACAAATTTTCCTTTTTCTTGATCTTTGTTATTTTCTTTCCTTTTTTTCTTGATCTTTGTTATTTTCTTCCTTTCTTCCATGGATGATGGATCTCTCTGAAGTACCAAAAATGGCGGAAGAATCGAAATCTATTAGAAATGTTTTTATTTAGGTTCTGTTTGGTAACACTCTCGCTTCCTGATTCTCGTTTACGTTTCTCATTTTTTTTAGAAATGAACATGTTTGGTAACCCATCCTATTTCTAATTTCTAAATTCTGAGAAATATTTTGTAAGGACCGTTTGATTTCGTTTTAAGTAAAAAGAAGAATATAAGGAAATTGAAAAGAAAAAAAGAAAGAAAGAAATAAAAAATAAAAAAATTGGAATTTTAGTTTGAAGGGTATTTTGGTCTTTTGAAAAAAAGAAAAGTGAAAAATGGAATTTTGGGGACACGTGTGTGTAGTGTGAGGTTGGCGTGTGTGTGTGACATGTTTTAAAAAAAAGAAAAGAATAGAAAAGGAAAGGAAAGAAACGAAACGAAACGAAGAAAGAAAGAGGAGAGAGAAAAAGAATAGAGATAGAGAAAACGAAGGGGAAAAAGAGAAAGAACAGGGGAGAGAGGTAGCAAGGGCTTCACAAAACTGCTGAGAAATAGAGGCTGAGATTGTTTTCGATTATGCTGTTGGAGAGCTCCACCATGGAGAGCGGCAAATTTAGGTAATTAAACTGGTTTTATTTGAAGATTAGGAAGGAAATAGGAGTGGGTTAGGGTTTTATGCATTGTTGTGTTTGAGTTAAGAAATCATTTGAAACTTAAACAGGTTGGATTTACTTTCTCCTTAAAAGATTAGGAGGTGCTGACCAATATTGGTTTTGTGAGTTTTTCAAGTTATGCTTAAGAAATTGTTTAGGGGGAAAAGAAGATTTTGAACTGTTTTACAATGTGGAACTAAATGGTAGAGTTTATTTGTGGGTTGCTAGAAAAATTGAAGAGTGTTTGTGTTGGTTAGAAGAATTGGTAGAAAGGTGAATGGTGTTGGAGAAAGCCGTGGGTTTGAATGGAGAAGGAATAAGAGGATGATTATGGGTTGTTGATGGAGGAAAGAGAAAATTGTTTGAATTAAAACTAAATATCAAGAATAAAAAGGAGATACTTAAAAATGGGGCCTTGTCATGTGAGATTGACATGGAAAAGAAGAAGACTGGGTGGATTGTGGGACCCACATGTGTAAGGTGATATAAAAGAGAAGAGTGATGGTTTTAAATGAAGAGAGAGAACGGGGAATTTGGATAATTGAGTTATTTTGAAATTATTGTGATTACAGTTTGAATTAAGTTTATGTTGAAATGGAATTAAGTGAGTTAATTTCGTATCAAATCGATATTTCAGGTCGGGTAGAAATTGAAGCAAAGGACGTTCCGATTCTAAGGATTTGTGAGTGGTTTATTTTAGAAATGTTTTTAGAATATATTATGATAGAATTTCAAGAAAGTATATATTATGTATGTTTTAGCATCTCTGCTGAGAATCAAAGAAAATGTGTTAGAAAGAATTGTTTTAGAAATGTTCTGAGAATTTATGAATGTGTCTGAGAATTTAGAAAACAACTCTGGTTGTTTGAGATTTTGGAGATGCATAAAATCTGGAGAAATGTTTTGTGATTTAGAAAAATGTGTGAAGTATAAGAAATGTTTGATTTAGAATGAAAGAAGCTGGGTTGAATATGAGAGTTTATTAATACTATATGATTCCAGAGGAATGTTTGAAGTTTCCTGAAATGATGTTAGACAGAAGGATTTTAGAAATGTTTTGGGAATAATTGTATTTGATAAGAATTATAAATGTTTTATGTCTTTAGATGATTGTAAGAAGTTTTTAGAAAGAAAGATTTGAGAAAGTTAGAAAGAAATATTTTAGAAGCGGTTTGGAAAAGAAAAGTTATTAGAAAGAAGAAAAGAAGAATTTTAGAACTTTCTATGAGATTGAGAAAGAAGTTTTCAAACCACCATGTTATTGTATCCAGGTGATTACTCATATGCTATATGAATGTGTTTCTATAGTATACCCAGAAATAGAAGGTCTTTGAGACCATTTTACTCCGTGCGTTGAAAGAATTATTCTGATGTGTATATTGAGATTACTCTATGCCAGTAGACCAGAAAGAGAATTATTCTGCTGTGCATATTGAGATTACTCTACGCTAGTAGACCAGAATAGAATGTGGATACATGTGTGGTGTTAAGTTTTCTGAACCTATTTATTGGTTGAAAGAAAATGTTTTATATGTTATTAGAAAGTGTTTTCCTAGTTCTATTTAATGTTTCAGGAGAACGATTTACAAATTTATTTAGGTTATGCATGCTGTTACACGTTTATTATGAGAAAGTATTTATAAGTTTTAGTTTCTCAAGTTTTATGAGATTTAATGAGAATATTTATTAGAACGGTTTTATAAAGTTTTTTTTTTTTTTTGCAGAACTTCGAAACTTCAGTCTATGAAAGAAGTTTTACAATATTATTTTTTGTATTAACTTACCACCCACTGAGCTTTTTAGCTCTCTTTACCCTTTGTTTTCCCCGTAGGTTGTATCTGAGTTTCAAAGAGAGAGTGGACCAGCTTCTGCCACCCAGAGTCATTAAGGAATTGCATATCATTTGTAGTTACATCCTGAGTAGTGTATTTAGAAAGAATTTAATAATAGAAGTGATGTTAAAAGTTAGTTTAAAAGTCTAGAAGATTTTCGACTATAGACTCGGCACCTAGTGGGGTCCATGGTCGGTGTGGTCTGTTCTTGAACTAGTAGGTGTTCTGGGACGAGTCGTGTCATGTTTACAAAAAAAGAGACTAAATTTTGGATCCCATAAAAAGTAGTTTTTTTCGTTTTTTCTGTTTCTCCCTATGGTTCAAGCGTGCACTTAGCCTTCAAGTTAGTTGTTCGAATCTCGCGAATAACGAAATGTTGTTACTTTTTTTTTCCATATTTCATTTGTTTTTTCTAAGTTATGTTTTCTTTGTTTTTTCCCTTTTATTTTTCTTTGTTTTTCGATTCTCTATTTTTTAAATTAAAAATTTATTCTCTATTTAAATCAAATAATTTAGACGTTTATATTAAAGAAACTTATATTGTAAGTTATATTTTTTGTCCTAGATTATATTATTCGTATGCATATTACATTTTTTATATTACATCTACTAAATTGATACATGACAACCAAAGCGTATTGGAATACTCGAGCCACAAGCCACTTGAATCCAATCGTACAACTGATTCAACCCGAAAGGCTAAGGGTTAGATGGATTACCTTTGCTGTCGTTACCTTGAGCAGGTAGAATACTCACTATGCTCGAGTCTGGAAACACTCCACGAGTTTGATAACCAATCAAACAAGCATGCTCCGAGGGGTAAAATATGAGATCCTAATTAGTTCAACTACACAAAGAAAATCAATATTTGGGGGAGAGGGGGGGAGGGGGGCGCAGAGTTTGCACACAACAAAGGGATGAGAAAACTCTCAATTCTATTTCAATCAAAGGTTCAAAGGTGTGAAATACAAGAGTGGTGCAAGCCTATTTATAGGCTAAGGCCAATGACCTTAACAAGAAAATTGTAAAATGAAAATAAACCTAAAAATAAAATAAAACAAATAATTGAATTATATTTCCCTTAAATTGCCAACTTGCCAATCAAGTAAGGCAATCATTTCTAACTAATTTTGATAAAAATAAAATATACTAAGTGAAAATCAAATAAAGATCTTTTCCTAAAATCCACCAACGTACTAATCAAACCAGGGAAGTTATTCCTTAAATGTATTTTGATCAAATAAAACCAAGAAAAATATAAAGGAAATAATTCCCTTAAAATGAATAGAGTGGGCGGTCGCATGGGGTGGCGTCATTGTGGGCACACACTGGACAGATGAGAGGCTTGGCAGGAACGTGTGAGAGCCCGAATGCTGGGCGATGGGTAGACGTGCGCGTGGCATATATAGTCAGGACACTGGGCAGGCATGCGTACGAGCGAAGGCAGGCGGCGTGTGAGGGCTGGCAGGTGTGGATG